CGGCCTGTGGACTGAAGGGTCCCAGGTTTGATTCTGGTCATGGGCAAAATGCCGGGTTGCAGGCTCGATCCCCAGTGTGGGGCATGCAGGAAGCAGTCTCTCTCATCATTGACGTTTCTATCTCTCTCTCTACCCCTCCCTTCCTCTCTGAAATCAATTTAAAATATTTTTAAAAAATAATTGAAATAAGTTAATAAAGGGCCAACACACAAAACTTACATTTTCAGCCACTCACCCACAGGCAGAGGGAGGGTGTGAAGACTGGACTCACCCACGGAGAGTCTGGGGTGTCCGGCTTTGGGGAGAGGTGTGGAGGCGTGGCCACCAGGACCCGGTACTAGAGCATCCACCAATACCACAGCCGTCATTCTTCTTGGGAGGAGCAATCGATCCACTCCAAGTAGCATCAGCCTGAGGAAAAGCAACTACCTCCACTTTCCAGCATTTGCCCCACCCAGCACTTGAAGTCCTACTGAGGCAGGGCAGTGGCAGGGGTTGTCAGTGACTTGCTTTAGGATGGGGCCATTCCCCTTCACTTTCCAGGGAGCTCGTGGGAGACCTGAGAGAAACACCAGCTTCTAGCTCCCACAGACCCAGCCTCTGGGCTTCCAACGCTCTACACACGTGACTACTAGGGGCTCCGCCTGCTGAGTCAGGGAACCATCCAGGGCAGACTCAGAGGTAGGGCTAGGGGGATGGGGACGCACACCCACCCTCTTCCCTGAAGTGCACAGGGCACCTCCCCTCATGGGAAAGGCAGTCACCCCAAGCTCCTGAGGCCACCAGAGGCTGTTTCAGAGACGAAGCCTTTTCAGTGCCTAAGCCTGGCAGCTGGCCAGCAGGTGGAGAAAAGCGGAGTCCGATCCCAGGGAGCCTGGGGACGTTAGCTGACCCACCCCTGGCCTCTGGGTTACAGATGAAAACGGGCCGTGGAGCTTAGCTTGGTTTCCCCTGCATGTAGACAAGCCCAGCAGAGGCAGCTGCATGCTGGGGGTCAGCTGTAGATTCAGGCAGGTTGCTGGGGGTCAGGAACCTGCAGCCCACGTGGGCAGCTTCAGACATCATCAGATCAGATCCAACAAGCTTCACCATTTTCTCCTTTTTCCCCCCATTTCATTTCATTTTCTGCTGTTCGTTTTCTTTTCTCTTCTCCTTTTTCTTTAAAACTTCATACTTCTCTGTTTCCTTTTCTAATTCTATTTCCTTTTTCTCTCTCTCTTCTTACACTCTTTTCCTGGTTTTGTTTTCCTAATCTGTCTCTTTCCACAGGACTCGGCTGCACGTGGGAGGGGCCAACCTGCACTCTAAGGCCCATTTGTTTGCAGCACGAGACCCAGGGACAGGTCTGCAACCCTCCCTCAGGTTTCCCGGGCTCTGCCTCCACCTGCCTTCACCTGCCAGCCAGCTGTCCATCTTAATCACTCAAAAGTCTGTTTCTGAAAGGGCTTCCGGTGGAATTGGGAGTGTAGACCTCTGGGAATCCACTAAAGGGGGGAGGTGCCATTTAGACTTCAGGGGAAGTGGTGGGTGTGTTTCCTGTCCCAGAGCTACTCCTCTCAGAGTGTCCCGGAATATCTTCCTGCCCTCGGCTGGGAGGAGATCCACTTATGCAGCCCATTGGAAACCTGGAGTTTCTCTCAGCCTCTCAGCTCTCCCGTGAGGGGAGCACCAGTCAGGGTCCTGGGTGCTAAACACAGGCACTCAGCCCCACACCCAGGCCAGTGACTGACGCTTCCTGAGACTGTTCAAACCCGTTGGCTTGGCCTCTGTGGCTGTCTCCTCTGTAGATACAAGATGTAGGGTGTGGTAGGCAGGGTGCCTGGGGGCGAGGCAGCTGTGTTACCATCGAGGGCTGGGTTTTTCCCTTTTCCTGAGCCATGGCTACTGGAATGGCCCTGAGCCTCTCTGGAAAATGGCTGTTTCATTGGTGGGGTGAAGGGGGAGCCAACTGCAGGTCTCCCAGCTGCCTCTTTTTCCTGTCTCCCCCCACACACACCCCAATGCTTCCTACCCGAGCCTCTCCTCAGGCACCTTCAGTCTGAGCCACCCTCCTTCCACTGAAGTCTCGGTTGGGGAGCTGCAAATGAAAATTCTGTGCTCTGGTGTGTGTGTGGGGGGGGAGGGGGTTGTTTGTTTGCTTGTTTAATAAAGAAATTTTTTTTAAAAAACTGTAAATAAACCCCAGGTATTATCAACAAATCAACTGGCTCAACAAACCAGCATATCCATACAATGGAATACTATTCAGCGATACAAATAAGTGAACTGTTATTACACACAGCAAAAAAACAATAACCCTGCAGCATTATGTCTGACCCGGTTGGCCAGCAGCCCTGCCGGATGTTACACAGCTGGATGTTACACGGTCTCGGTTCTGGTGCTCCGGGCTGTGCAGCCCAGCCTGGGTTCCAGGCCTCAATCATCTCAGTAAAATAAGCCACCACAGCCCAGAGACCCCTCCTCACCCTCGACCTGCCCACCCCCACCACCCACCCCCTGTGAGAGCTGGGGCAGCCCCTCTCATGGCCTTACCCTTCCTGCTGGTCTCTGGGTATTTTCTGTTCTTTCTTGATGTGTCTGTCTCCTCCTCAGCTGGACCTCAGTTGGTAACTGCGGGTGAATCTCCCCTCCCACAGGTCACAGGTTCCCCAATTCAGTCCTATGTCCAGTCTGGCCCCAGGAAGAGGTGCATAAAGATCTGCAAATTCGTCCACCATCTTCTCCAGCCAACAAGAAATAGACTTTTTTTTTAAGTAAAATAAAACGGTGCACCTGCGTGTAAGGCACGTAAGGGAAATGAATGCAACACGATTATAGTCATCAGTCATTAGCAAACGTTGTCATTCGTTATTAATAATTATGTATAACAGGATATTGTAAAAATTAATTTACAAAATTTTTATTAAAACATTTTGTACATACCGTTATATTGGCTGGGCCACAAAAATATTTGTTGTGGGCCACATGCGGCCCACGGGCCACGAGTTTGACATGCTTGGTGTAGACGGCAATAGAGATTTGTTTGTCATCTGTGCCCATTTAGTAAATTTTGCACCCGAAGGTGTCCATTTTAAATGCCGTGTGTAATACGTGGCCATCCAATTGTTCAGGACGCCCTGCTACTGTGTTTTTGAAGCCTGTACAATGGGTCGTGCTGTCTGCCCTTCCATCGTTAGTGTTAGACACGTGTGCATTCTCCCATGTTCTCTCGGGCATTCAGGCTGAGATTTATTCGTGTGGTTCATGTTTTCAAAACTGAATGGTGGGGGCGTGGATTTTCCTGGGTTTTTGTCTCAGCAGTTTCCCCTCCTCCTCCTGGACTCATCGTGTTTCTCCTCACATCTTCATGTGTAAAATTTGCTCTTCTCTTACTAATGAATATTTTTATTAAAGTACTAGAGGCTCGGTGCACGAAATTCATGCACAGGAGAGGGGTGTCCCTCAGCCCGGTCTGCACCCTCTCCAATATGGGATCCCTCACACAATCCAGGACCGCTGGCTCCTAACCGCTCACCTGCCTGCCTGATTTCTCCTATGCTTCTGCCTGCCAGCCTGACTGCCTCCTAACTGCTCCCCTGCCAGCCTGATTGATGCCTAACTTCTCCCCTGTCAGCCCGATCGCCCACAACTGCCCTCCCCTGCCGTGACCCGCCTCCTCCACACAAGGCAGCAGAGACGCCGGGATCGGCCACCTCCCTGCCACACAGAGCGGTGGGACACACAGGCCTCATCGCATGGAGCAGCCACCAGGCCCCGCCTCCACTGTGTGCACAGCCATCTTGTGATGGCCATCTTGTGACGACATGAGGGCGAGACGACCATCTAGGCTATTATTAGTATAGATTGTGGGTATACAATATCATATTAGTTTCATAAAGTTACCTCACATTATTGAGTATTTTCTCTTCCCCTTTCCACCCATCCCTCCTCCCCTCCCCTCTGGCAACCATCAGTTTTTTCTTCATTTCTATGCATCTGTTTTTGTTCCCTTTGGTTTGCTGATGTTAAAAATTCCAGGTACATAAATAAATAAATAAATAAATAAATAAATAAATAAATAAATTCCAGGTACAAGTGAAATCTTTCCCTGTCTGAATTATTTCACTCAGCATAATACCTTCCAGGTCCATCCCTGTGGTCTCAATATCAGCATTTCTTTTTTCTTTTTTCTTTTTTTTTCTTTTTTTTTTTTGGCTGATATCTATTCCATTGTGCATGCACGCCACCTCTTTCTTACCCAGTCCTCTATGGAGCTAAAGATTCATAGCAAACTTCGTTTCTAAATTCTTTGTTTAAGTGTATGTGTTATTGTTGACAGTATGACAGATATCCCCTATCTGCCCTCCACATCCCCACATCCCCATTCCACCCAGCCCCGCCCCAGGCCTTCAATGCTTGATATAATAGCTTAGGACATTGATTATTAAAGTTTTTTTCTAATGTATTCATTCATGGTTTTTAATTTCATCGTTTCATAGGCCTGATGTGTAGTATTTATATGATCATTTAATCTAAAACATGCACTTATGTTTTGGTTCACACATTGATTATTGAAAAGTCTGTTGCTTTATTTGCAGAATGTAGCGATATTGGTTATCTTTTTGTAATTTTTATTTTTATTGAATTCAGAGAGGAAAGGAAAGGGAGAGAGATATAGTAACATAAATGATGGGAGAGAATCATTGATCGGCTGCCTCCTGCAAGCCCCCACTGGGGATTGAGCCCACAACCCAGGCATGTGCCCTTGACCGGAATCAAACCTTGGACCCTTTAGTCCGCAGGCCAATGCTCTCTCCACTGAGCCAAACAGGCTAGGGCTTGGTGATCTTTGACTATAGAACCAGGAGACTCCCAGAGGGTCCCAGAAGCTCCTGGGGGTCCACATCTGGTCTCCAGGCCGGCTGGAGTCACTAGCTGAATGTCCATGGGGGCAGCTTTTCTGCCTTCTGGGGTCCTTGCAGTCCCCCTCCCTGGAGTTTGGGGTCTGGGTCCTCCCTGGGCTAGTGGGTGGCTAGAGCAGCGTACACGCTGGGCTCTTCTGGGGGCTCCTCTGATGCGGAGGAAGGGGGTGCACTTGTCTCCCGGCTGAGGGCCAAGAGGTTCAGATGGGCGTAGGTCACATCCTGGGGGGCGTCAGGTGCAGCCTGGAGCAGGGGAGAGAGAGGGATGACACTTGGTGGGGGTTTGAGAAGCCTCAGGGCCTGGGGAGGATGGGACCCACCTGTGTGTCCTCTCCTGTTTGTCTGCCCTTTGTGTCCAGCAATACCCCTGACAGGGAGGAAGGAGAGGTGGCCATTCGCTGCCTGGGTCTTGGTCTTGAGCGGTTCACCTGGGTGTATGTCACTCCCTGGGGGCCTTCACCCTGCCTGCTCTGCTGGAGACAGTGAGACAGAACAGCATCTCCTTGATTCCACAGTAGAAATCCTCCTGTCAATTGTCCTCATGTTGCCAGAGAGATGGTTTACACTTTAAATAGATCAGGTCCCTCTCCTGGTGGAATCTGCAGGGCCTTCCCGAGCCTTGGGGCCTCTGGATGCTTCTATGGTTCTGACTCTGATCCTAACATGCTCTCTCTTGCTCACTGGGCTCCAGCCTCATGGCCCATCCTCCTAAAGAAGCAGGCCCTGCCTCAGGACCTTTGCACCCGCTCTTTCCCTGTCCCCCCACCATGCACTCTATCTCCTCCTCTTGCTTTGTGTTCCTTCACAGCACTTTGCTCTCTGGGACACTGTCTGCTTGTTTGCATATTGTCTCCCTCACCCACAGGTGAGCTCGAGGCGTGTGGAGACAGTGTGGCTCAGGGCTGCACCGTGGGCCCTAAATGGAGCCAGGAAACAGCCCTGTCACATCTGCTGGGGGAATGAATGAAGGGGATCGAGGGGACCTGGGGGTGAGTCACTCATTCCTGCCTCCTCCTGAGACCTGGGGCTGCACAAGGTCAGACAGAGGACGAGGGGCCGGCAAAGGGGACCATGTAGGAGGGGCCATGAGGTCACAAGGAAACCAGGAGGAGTGAGTCACAGCAGGATGACCTGGGGGCCCAGAGGGGAGGTCAGTGTGGACGCTGCTGAGAAGCAGGTGAGGTGGGACAAGGGAGGGTCCATTGGATTAAACTGGGCAACAGAATGTCCTTGGTGGCCTGGACAGGAGCAGGGGTCTCACCTGAGGATCCAGCCTCATGCTCTCCCCAGGCTGCGGGTCCTTCATGGCAGCATCTGCTGGGGCAGAACAGAGGTGTGTCTCCTGGCAGGTCCCTGAGATCTCAAGGCCGCAGACCCGCCTGCTCCCAGATGGGCCACTAACCCAGGGTGAGGTGCAGAGCCAGGTCACACCGTGTGCATCTCAGTCCTTCTCACCCGGACCCCCATCCTCCCAGCCTAACCCTCCCCATCACCTCCTGAAATCCCTGTGCTCCCTCCCCCAGGGCAGCTGTCTTTTCCTCTCACAGAGGGCCTCCTCCTGGGAATCAGCAGCTGGGCTGCAGCTGGGGGAGGAGAAAGGAGAGTTAGGGACTGGGGGGGGGCGGCCATGGGCTGTAGGAGTCTTAGGTCTTTGGAGCAGGAATGACATGATCTGCAGGCCTCTGTCCTTGGGCTCTGGGTCTGTGGTCCCTGCAGGAGGTTGGACATGAGCCTCTCTCTGGGTTGGTCAAGAGGGACAGAATCAGCCCTGAGAGGTTAGGAGCCCCTCCCCCTGTGATTCCACAGGAAAGAAGGAACCTTAACACACACTTGTGTGCATATTTCATGAGACTGAAAAGGATGAAAGATTACATTTGTACATCGGTGCTGACATTGTTTTCTTTCAAGATTTTCTGATTTGAGAATCTGGAGAAATCCTTCTCTCAGCTGGACCTTCTCCATCCATTTGGTTTCCTGTGGCAGGTGCTCTGAGCCCCCGTTCTGTGACCCAGGTCACCCCGTTCCCTACTCACCAGACATCCTGTCTTTGCTCTGACGTTGATGTCGGAGGAGGAGAAGGAGGAGGGAGAGCAGCAGGACCAGGGCCACCGAGACTCCAATCAGGACGTACAGGTACCATTGGAGACCTTGGACACAAGCGATGTCATAAGTGAGGCAATGATGCCTTTTAATGAGCACCTACTGTGTGCGAAGTACATGCCGGTGTCTGTCACTCATCCCCTCTCATCTCACAGCAGTCATGCACCAGGGATTGCTGACCCCACCACCCACTTCACTGAGGCTCAGAAAGGTTAATCACGTGCCCCAGGTCACCCAGCCTGGGCGGGGCAGGGATGGGACTGGAACCTGGGATTGTGGGTTCCCTGTGCTCTCCTTACGCTGCCCCCCAGGGGGACACCAGCTTCATGCTCTGGGCTCCTCCTCTGCAGGGGCTTGTACATGTATCATCTGGAGCTGAGGGTCCTTCCTCAGTACCTGCCCCCAGCACAGCAGAGACATGGAGGGGCAGGGTGTGGTGTGGACTCTGAGTCTCTCCCAGGCCATCCCCACCCACAGGGCCCTGACACCACTTGGGAAAGTCAGGTTGGGCTGGGGGTCTGCCTTCCTGAGCTCTGTGAGGCCCTTATGTCACCTCATCTCCCAGCAGCCTGTGAGCAGGATGGGACCAGGGATGAGCAGACAGGAACCCGACACTCAGAGGAGAGAAGGGACCGCCCAGCCCCACAGCAGGAGCAGCAGAGCCAGGAGCTGAACCAGGGCTGATGCACCCTGTTCCCTCCTCTGAGCTGAGCCTGAGCTGAGGGGTAGGACTGGGTGCCTGGACCCTTATCCTGCCTGTCCCTCCCTGTGCAGTGTCACTGTCACTGTGACAGAGGGGACAGGCCCCATAACATCCTGGGGGGTCCCTGTGAGGCCCCTCTCCCAGGAGGTTAGGGCCAGAACCAACAGGAAATCTAAGCTCTGGAGAAGGATTCTCTCCTTTCACACTTGTAGACACTGAAGCCCAGACAGGGAAAGCGGGTATCCAAGTCAGCGAATCCAGAGGGGCCTGAACCCCTTAACCCCCCATGGTCCAGCCCCTGTCCCCATGGAGGAACACACCACCTCCCCACAGACTCTCACCTACCCCTCCGTGGGCCCGACTCAGAGCCTCCTGGGGATGAGGATGACAGGTGAGTGGTGGGGGCTGCCTTCTCCCCACTAGAGCTCAGCTCCTCCTCCCCAGCCTGGGCTCCCACATCTCCCTCTGCCATGACTACCTCACCCATAAGTAGCCTCATAGCCCTGGGACTCCCAGCCTCTCTGGGACACAGGCCTGTCCTTGAGGATCTGGGTCACTCGATCCCCTGACAGACTCTCAGGACTTGCTGGGTGGGCTGTGCGCCCTCTGAGCAGAGCTCCCCGGGACTCACCAGCTGGGGAGGTGGGAACTGTGGGTGGGGGGTTGGGGCCTCCAGAGGGTCCTGGAATTGAGGATAGAAAGGGGTGAAGCTGGGGCTCACTCTGCAGTCTCCAAATCACTCCGTACTTATCCTACATCTGCTCTGTGATCCCCGAAAACACTCCCCCCGCCCACTTAACTACTTCCCAACCCAGTTCATGGGGAGGATTCAACAAAAGTGAGAGCGTCTCTGAAGGCAGATCTCTGCTGGGTGACCAACACTCAGAACCTCACTCTCCTCCAAGCTCAGATGTCTCCTGAGGGCGGGACCCTCAGCTGCCTGTGCTCAGAGAGGCTGGGATCAGGGGCCGCTCACCTGAGACCAGTAGATGCAGGGGGTCACTAGGGTGAGACCACTCCTGGGGATGCTTCTCAAAATTGCCATAGCATCTGAACGTCCACCTGTGGCTGGGGGTCACGAGGCCCACAGGGAACAGGGCCTGGGACCACCCACTGGGCTGTCGCTGTGAGCCCAGGGTCCAGGAGAGCCTGTGATCTCCTTCCTTAGTCAGAAGGAACCTATCAAATGACTCCTTTGAGCCACACTGGAGGGTCACGTTCCCTCCTGAGGTCACCACAGGGCTGGGCAGGGCTGAGAGGCTGGGTTTGCTGTAGAATCCTAGGAGAGGAGGAGGCAGCGTGTTAAATGGGGCTCACAGCTCCCTCGTGTCCCCCAGGGCTGGGCTGTGAGAGGGGGACACCCTGAGAGCAGACCCCATTCCTGAGGGCACAGCCTGAGGCTGGGACCCCTGAGTGTCCTCTCACCTGTCACCACCAGCTCCAGGGGGTCACTGTGCCCTGACCAGCCAGTGGGGCTGAGGTAGTTACAGGTATATCTCTCTGCATAGTTTCCTGTAATGAGGAACTTGGCCCTGTCTCTAGGCTCCAGGGGCTTCTGTCCCTTCAAGTACTTTCCACCTGCATACAGCCGGTACTCCTGAGCCTCCAGGATCCCCCGACACCAGATGGTCACAGGGCTTCCCCAGGAGATCACAGGGCCTGGCTCAGCCCAGATGGTGGGTATGGAGAGGTTCTCTAAAAGGAAACCAGAGGCTGCTTTACAAAGACCTTCCCCACCTCACCCCCAGCTCAGCCCAAGACCCTCTCATCCAAGCACCTCTGTGCTCCCCCCTGAGTCTCAGTGGCTGAAGTAGGAGATGGGACATGGAGCCTGGGGAGGACTCACCTGCCTGCACATGGATCCTCTGGTCCAGACTCAGCCCTGGAAGAGAGTCCTTGTGAGAGATTTGCACCCGGATATCTCAGCTGATTCCCTTCCCATCATGGTCTGGTCCATTTGAGCTGCTTGAGCCTGAAGTTCCCCATGAGCAACAGAGTATGAGCCTCCCCTTCCCGCCTGCTCCTGTCCCCATGTCTGCAACTGACCGAGGCAGAGAAGAGCAGAGAGGATGGACGTCATGGCATCTGCTCTGAGGGCTCCTGCTCTGAAGATGGAGGAGGCCTTGGGCCTGAAGGACAGAGACGCACAGGATGTGGCGAATCAGGAGCTGCTGCCGCACTTCCGGGTTATCACAGCTGTGGACCCACAGTCAGGGGACGGCCCCTTCTTTGGGCTGGCTCTGGGTTTTTTCCATGATGAGGGCTCAGGAGGACCCCAGGGCCTCCAGAGAATCAGCCCAGATCTGGAGTCTCTTCTGACTCCCAGGACTCTGTGGGATCTGAAATCCTACTTCGGGACCCAGATCCTTGTCCTGAGTCGATCCTCTGAATAGAAGTTACTAATTTCCTCCCACGCACAGAATTGACTTTTGGTCTTTGACTCGTCCATAAACCAATATTTATTGATCACCTACTATCTGCCGAATATTTGTGCCTGAACCAGAAATACATCCGTGATGGATCCAGGAGACCCATCACCTGTATTTTGAGAATTCTTCTTGGCAGAGTATGGGCATTCGAAGGCTAATATTGCAATGACTTTACATACAAAGGACAAATGAGAGAAAAGGTGGGAAGATCTGGGGGCCATGACTAGACTATGGTTAAGGGGATGGCTATTTGAAGAGATGGAGTCCGAAGAGGTGGGAATGAGAATATTCTTGACAGGATAGAACATTCTAGAGAACCCTAGAGACATAGAGAGCCTCTGAACAACAGTAAGAGAGGGTGAGGTGGTGGCTGGTCATAGGCGTGCTCCACCCCCACCTCTCCCGCCCCATGCAAGGATGTGGGATTCTGTCTATAAGGCAAAAGGAATGCATAGGAATGGACTGTGATGGTCAGCCTGAGTTATGAAGATCGTATGGGCCATGTATCACAAACGAACCAGAGAAATGAAATGCATGTCAATAAAAGATCACATCAACTGTAACTGAACTCCAACCTTGTGTTTCCAGCCATGCTCCATGAATGTCTTACATGGATTTACCACACAATCCTTGCATAGCCCTGAGCAGTCACAACACATGCAGGGAAGAGAAATGAGAAGAAGGAACCTCAGTGTTGCTTCTAGTCCTGTGTTTTACACTATGGGCTTGGGAAGGAGCTTGCTAGTCCTATAGAACTCTAAGAAAGCAGATATGAAGGAGCACAAACATGTTCAATAGTAGATGGTGTGAGTGTGTATGTGTGTGCATCAGTGTGTGTGTGTGTGTGTGTGTGTGTGTGTGTGTGTAACTGCACCTGTCTGGTTGAAGAAAGCAGAAGTGAGAGCTGAGGTGTTTGTGGGGACGGTCTGGGGGAGTGCTGCCCCTGCAAGCACATGTGTAGAACGCTCTGACTGGTGGGAGATGCCCATTTCTGAATTGACATAAAATTAAATATTATTCAGCCACAAGAGAGAAGGAAATCCTGCCATTTGTAATGACCCTGAGGGACCTGGAGGGCATTATGCTACTTGAGATCAATCAGACAGACAAAGACAGATGCTGATTCATCTCACGTACCTGTGGGATCTGAAAAAGCCAAACTAGTAGAAACAGAGAGAACGATGGTTACCACAGGGAGCGTGGGGAAAGGAGAGATGTTGGTGAAAGAGTATCAACTTTCAGTGATAAGATGAACAATTTGGGACGCTAATGTACAGTATGGTGATCACAGTAAGCAATTCTGTATCATATTATCCCAAAAGTATCTAAGTGGTTGTATCCTAAAGGTTCTTACCACAAAAAAATGGGGCAATTATGACTTATTAACGGAATCGTTAGCTAACACTGAAGTGGTATCATATTGCAATATTTAAATGTATCACATCTACACATTGTCACCTAACACTTAGCCAATGTTATATGCCATTTACATTTTTGTATAGTTGGGAAAAATCACCCTCAGGCTTGATGTAAGAAAAACTTACCTAGAATGGAGGACAAGAAATAGAGTCTGATGGTGGCATATGTTGGAAAGCTTGCGAATCTATTCATCCACCTATGTGTTCCTTTGTGTGTCTATGTATCTGCATGTCAGTCTATCTATCTATCATCTATCTATCTATCTATCTATCTATCTATCTATCTATCTATCATCATCTATCTATCATCTATATCTATCTCCATCTGCAATCAATCTCTTTCTTCTCCAGACTCTAATAAAACTAATGTCTTAGTTAGTTGTATTTTGTTGTGGCAAACTTACCAAACTAATTCACTATCTCTCATTCTCTCTCTCTCTCTCTCTCTCTCTCTCTCTCTCTCTCTCTCTCTCTCTCTCTCTCTCTCATCAGATCTCTGATAGAAGAAACAAGTTTGACTCAAACATAAAAAACGATTTCAGTAAAACAAGAAAAACTAGATATTGTAGGTTTCCTTCTCTTCTAGAGATGCAGAACCCAACTATCCACTCTGCTTTTTGTTGTCAGAAGATTATACGTGCAACTGGCAGAAGGCTGAATAGATATTCAGTGGGTGAGAGATTTCGTGTTTCTGATAAAAATTGTTTTATATCCTTAACCATTTTATTCATTAGCTTGGCATTGGAATATTAAGCACTGTAAGCCAAATAATTGTTTTGACTTTCACATGGCAGCAAGCTATGTTAAAATCAGTATGTGATTGTAGAGTTTAGGAAAACTACACAGGACAGTTTAGAGATGTGGCTCAAGTCAGACCCTCAGCACCTGCTATTTTTGGGGTGAGGAGAGCTGGTCCACTTCCTGTGTGACCAGCACCTTGTGCCCTGCACACACTGTGGTGTGGGGACCCTGCCCACCACATCCTGTGAACTGCCTCTCGAGCTTCACCTTAACAACTGAAAAATAAGTCATCAAAACCTCTGCTATAAAAACTTCCACAGGGAGTTCACTCCTTTTCCTGATGCATGAACCTGATACCACAAACTGAATTCAAAGTTGTCATCACAGAATCCTCAAGCCAGGAAAGCTCACCTTCTTTGAAGAGGTCGAGCTGACACAGACCTGGTACAGCCTTGACCAGGAATGTGGGTGTGTATCTAGGAGGTTTATCTTAAGACCATGGGCCACCACCATCTCCCCCAATTCTGCCCTATTTTGTATGTTCATCCTGAGAAGTGCTATGAATTCAGCACTGGGCTGTGGACAGCTCTAGTCCCATCCATAGGGCATTTTTTCTTTCCTAAAGTCTCTTCAATTTCATATAAAAGGAGTATACGACTTCCATGTGTTTTCTGTGGAATGTTTTCTAGATCTTTATTTTTTAAAGGGTTTACCTTCACTACAAGTGTATTTAAATCTTATGTAGGTATTTTATCCTCTTGCATGTTCATTCCTGGCTAGTTTTTCTCAGTGGTTAGAACATCAGACCACACTCAGAAGGGTCAGGGTTGAGTCCCAGTTACAGGCATGTACCTGGGTTACAGATTCGATACAGCCCCTGTTCAGGCATGTGCAGGAGGTAACCCCTCAATACGTCTCTGTCACACTCATGTTTCTCTATCTCCCCCGCCCCCCATTTCCTCCCTCTCACTCTCTCTGAAAAAAAGAATCAATGGGAAAAATATCCTTGGCTGAGCATTAAAAAATAAATAAAAAGCCCTAGTGGATAGAGTGTTAACCTGTGTAGTGAAGGGTCCCAGGTTCGATTCTGGTCA